CATGCCTTGGTGAATACGATTCTGAAAGGAAAACTGCCGCAACCAGTCGCGGATTTACTCACATCCTCCCGCCTGATTGCCCTGGCCAAACCTGAAGGAGGGGCTCGACCAATTGCAGTCGGCGAATGTCTGACCCGCCTGGTGGCAAAGGCCGCACTGTCAACTCTTGGCGAGGCGGCGCGCGGCTATTTTCTTCCGCTGCAGTACGGTGTCGCAGTACCAGGGGGAGCGGAGGCAATCATTCACAGCGCACGTGCATACACTGACAATCACCCCAACTGCCTCATTATGCAAACTGACATCTCCAACGCCTTCAACAGCATTTCGCGACAAGCCATAGTGACAGCATTACAGGACCCGGCCCTATCACCACTACTGCCGCTAGTAAAACTGACCTACGGTGACCCATCCTTACTGTACCTGGACGCGAACTTCAACAGCCCGCCTATACTCAGCGAGCGTGGGGTCCGGCAGGGCGATCCCTTAGGGCCGCTACTTTTTGCGGCTGGGATCCACCCTGCACTAAGAACAACAGCAGCACTGCACCCCGGCGTGCTGTGCCTGGCATACGCCGACGACGTGAGCTTCTTGGGCGAACCACAGGAGGCTGTCGCAGCTTTCTCCCATTTTACCAGTCAGCTAGCTCAAGTGGGTTTGCGACACAACCCTGAGAAATGTGCCGCATGGAGCAGACAGCCGCTAGATAGTTCAGTACGACTGCCGCCGGGAGTCCCTACTAGTGACGCGGGCGTTAAACTTCTGGGCAGTTTCCTAGGCACACCTGAAGGCGCTGCCGCCTTCCTAGCAGCCCAGCTACAAGACATGACAAGGCCGCTACCTCTGATCGAGCGCCTAGACCCGCAGATAGCTTCCCTCCTCCTCACACGCTGCATCTGCCGCCGTGTAGGATACCTCATACGAACGACCCCGCTACATCTCCTGAACCACGACACCTGGTCCCAGTGGGGTATGGACCTCCTAGCCACGCTTCTCACAGCATGTGGCATTCGATTCCCGACGGACAGCACAGAACAGAGTCGGGTTTGGGAACAGTCCTCACTCCCACCGTCACTAGGCGGTATTGGACTAACGGACCCCACGGTGGAAGGCCGTTTCGGCTACCTGGCTAGCTTTACACAGTCTAGCCTCTTACTAAGCTGACTACCGCTAGAAACAGAGGAAGCACTGATGGCGGCCAGAGACCACATGCTCCTACCTCGAGATCCCACAACCGCCTTACACCAGTGGCTGGGGGAGTGCGAGACGTCGCTGCCACAAGAAGCTAGAGACATACTTGACATGGAGAGGCTAGAGCCAAAGGGGCTGAAACTGCAACACGAGCTTGGGGTGCGGGTGCAGGGGAGTAGATATGCCACGCAAGTGCGGGCTACACGACACATGAGTCTCAACCCACTGTCAGGCCACACCCAACGGTTTTTCTCCCTGACAGGCTACAGCACGGGGGACTGGCTAACCGCGATCCCGATAGAACCTACCCGCCGTGTAGGCCCTCCTCACTTCGCAAACGCAGTCCGCTTCAGGCTAGGCCTCCCCTTCTCTACACCCGCGAAGTGTGACTGCTCTAAGCACGTTGAAACACTGACCCACGGCTGCCGAATCACCTCTTCCGCTGCGGGACAGGCAAGCACAGGATTAATACTCACAATGAACTCCGTGACGCTTGCATCTCGATGGCAGAGGACGCCGGCTTCATAGTTCACGGAGAATCTGCAGCATACTGCCCGGTTGCAGAGCAAACGGCAGACCTGACACTACGTGATAAGAGTTCGGGGGCGGTGTACATCTGTGACGTCACCATCACCGACCCGATCAGCACCAGGGACCCACAAGCCACCAAGGGAAGGGGTTGGGCGGCCAGGGAACAAGCCGACAAGAAGATCAGCCATTACGCCAGCCGCCCTGACACAGTTGCCTTTTTCCCCCTGGCGGTTGAGACGTATGGGTGCCCGTGCGCGGAGGTCCCACAGTTTCTGAAGCTCTTGGCGGAAACGGCTGCTCGGCGGCACTTCAACGCCCAACCAAACTCATTCCATGCAGCTAGGTTCCTTCATCTCTTCAGGAAACGGTGGTCCTGTGCTCTGCAAAGAGCGCAGTCGGTGGGTTACCTTATTAAGTCCAGTCAGGCGGCTGTAGCAGAAAATCCCCCTGTGGGAGGGGTGCAAGGAGAATTCCACCTTGGGGATAGCTGTGTATTACTAGAGCCTCTCATGGAGGTGTAGATAGGTATTTATGGGCGGATAGATAAGTTGTTTAGCTCTTTGTTTCTGTGTTTGCTTGTTCCCATCCCTAGCATCTATACCCTGCATGTTTGAATTCCTTGATACATCAATACACGGACCATTAGAGAGAGAGAGAGAGAGAGAGAGAGAGAGAGAGAGAGAGAGAGAGAGAGAGAGAGAGAGAGAGAGATTTATTGAGTAGATTTGTTTCCATATACTCTATGTTTTGAACATTATGACAAAACTCACAATCGAGTCAGTTGTTCCAAGAACTGCCGAAATCGCGGGGGTCATCGTCCACGTGGGGTTTCTTGTCGGTTGCGCATCCCTCCCCAATTTGTCACCCTGGGTTTGGAATGCAACAGTGCGCTGCGTTGGTATGTTCGGTTAACTATGGCTAATCTCGGTTCTTGGGAGTTCCACTGGTTAGGGCAATGCTTGTTTGGCGAGGTTGCCGCCGAACCACGTTTCTGCCCTGGGAGTTGCCTAGCCAAGCAGGGCGCGGAGGTCAACCCTTGGGAGTGCCGTGGCAAAGCTGATGTTTGTTTGGATCATTGATTTGGAAGTTCTTTCATCTCCCCCCTCTGCTTGACCAAGGCTACTCATTTCCTCAGGCCTTTTTGCCTGACTGTAGGTCTGATAACTGTTCTAACTTGCTGAGGCGCTTTAGATAGGCCAGCGGCCAGCCGCAAAGCAGTGGGAGACTAGGTATATTCAGCATCATGGAACGTGAAAAGCGAGGGAAACCCATTGATCGATTCTGACTATCGCGTTGCTGCGCGTTTCTATGCACGCTCGCCTAATCTCTAAAATACTTGCCCAAAGCCCATTTATCCCCCATGCCATCCTAACTCTGTCAGTGATACGAAACCTAGGCAGAATCGCATAATGGCGGCGTCTCATCCGAATGATGTCGCACAACGGTCATTGCGACGAAGCCACAGCAGCAGCAGCGGTACCAGCCGTTCCGTCCCGGTAGCTGGCCGTTCGAACACGAACCAGCATGGGATTGGTCCAAGCATCGTTGACCGGAGTAGCGTAGCCAATGAAACGCTGCCAACGGGGCCACATGGTAGATATACTGCTGCTGACGAGATGCTGGATGGCGGCCAGGGAAACGGCATGACAGCTGACAGATCAACGGCTAGTATTAATTCCCTAAAAAGACGTGCTTCATCTGATCGAAGGGAGTTTAGCCATGATGTTCAGATTTCGAACAGTCGAATGGGGAGGAGCGCCGGAATGGTAAGTGGTTCTGCTACGGCTCACAGCCGGACTCGTAGCGTCGACGTAAGCGTTGTATTGTGCAGGCCTATAACGGAGACAGAAGCGGCAGAGCGCTGGAGTGGAGCTTCAGTGAATAGAGGACCATCTAGTGAAGCAGGATTAGATGGAGCTCTTACGACCGTTGATGCCACAGCCGTGATGGACGACCACGATTCTTCGCGGTCCATAGCGGACCCCTGGCGAAAGAACCCTAACGCGTGGATGGATTTCAGGAAGGGTGAATTCAAAACGCCTTCTCATAACGAGGATGATTCCAGTGAGGTTTTGTCGCCTTCTAGAAATGACACGAGGGTCGCTCCCGTGTCAAGACAGGCTAGTGCAGGCTCACGTCCTGGTCCTAACCCTAACATGTACCTGCGGGCAAAATCGTTCAATCTTTCTGGAAATTCGTCGTCGTCCTCAGGCTCGTATCCTCCTCCCGCCTCTCTCCTTTCCCGCGCCATCACTACCGGTACGCACGAAAGGTCCTCGCTCCCGACTCTAGAGTCGACTCAAAATTTGCCCGCAGGCTCTTATCCTCCTCCCGCCTCTCTCTTTTCCCGCGCCAGCACTACTGGTACCTTTGAGTCGACTCAAAAGTCGCCCTCAGGCTCTTATCCTCCTCCCGCGTCTCTCTTCTCCCGCTCCAGCATCACTGGTACACACGAAAGGTCCTCTCTCCCTTCTCCCAGACCCCCCCTTCCCTCCCACACGCCCACAGGCTCGGCCCAATCGCAGTTTTCTAGGTTTGGTCGCTCGCAGTCTGTGACAGCCACTGCTGCTGCCTCTACCGCTGCTGCTATTGCTGCTCCTACTGCTGCTGGTGACGGCGCTGGTGCCGGCGCTGGTGCTGGTGGCTTGCACCGGCAGCAGGCGAAGCAGCAGCAGCTGCCGCCGCCGCAGCAACCGAAGCAGCAGCAGCAGCAGCAGCAGCAGCAGCAGCAGCAGCAACAGCTTCAGTACAGCCCTCGCGAATCTGCGAGCACGAGTGGGAGCAGTCGCCCTGGTAGAAGCTCCGTGCACAGGCGCAGTCAGAGCAGCGCGCAGGACTCGAGCCAAGGCTCGAATTACGTAACACAACAAACGCAACAACAGCAATCTACAGAGCAGCAGCGGCGTGAGGATAGCTTTCGTCAGTATGGGAGTGAGAGTGAGAGCAAGCGGTCAGTGAAGGGTGCAGGTCACAGGCGCAGTCAGAGCAGTGCGTATGCTACAAGCCAGCCCTCGAATATAGCTCCAAGTCGCCAGCAGCAGCAGCAGCAGCAGCAGCAGCAAGATTTGAGGCGACAGAGAATGCAACAGGATGGTACTGACAGGGAGGGTGTGAGTGAGAGCGGTGCAGAGAGTGCAAGGCACAGGCGCAGTCAAAGCAGTGCTCATGCCGTCAGGCGTAGCTTGGATGAGTCGCCTAGGCCGCAACCACAGCCGCAGCAAGGTTTGAGGCGACAGCAGGTGCAGCAGGATGGTGTTGTGAGGGAGAGAGCCAGCGAGAGCAGTCAGCAGGCAGAGAGTGCAAGGCACAGGCGCAGTCAGAGCAGTGCCCATGCTGTCAGGCGTAGCTTGGATGAGTCGCCTAGGCCGCATCCACAGCAGCAGCAGCAGCAGCAGCAGCACCAGCAGCAGCAACAACAGCAACATTCGAGGCAGCAGAAAATGCAGCAGGATGGTATTGCGAGGGAGAGTGCGAGCGAGAGCCGTCAGCGGGAAGACAGTGCAAGGCACAGGCGCAGTCAGAGCAGTGCCCATGCTGTCAGGCGTTCCTTGGAAGAGTCGCCTAGGCCTCAGCCCCAACAGCAGCCGCATTTGGGGCAATGGCAGCAGCAACAGCAGCAGCAGCAGCAGCAAGAGGAGCAGCAACGTGGGACGGGGACAGAGAGCGAGAGCAGTCAGTCAATACAACAGCGTGCAGGTCACAGGCGCAGTCAGAGCAGTGCACATGCCGTCAGTGGTCGGAGCTCTATCCACTCAGTGGGGCAGCAACAACAACAGAAGCAACAGCAGGAGAATCCGCCTGAACAGCTATATCAGTATCAACAGCATCAGCAGCAAGGAGGGAGTTGGAAGGAGAGGTCTAAGCAGCGGGAGGGAGCAAGTGGGGAGGGCCAGGGAAGAGATGCAAGCAAGAAGCGGGCACTGCAGGTAGGGCAGCCGGGACTGGCTCATTCTGAGTCGCCTCAACAGCAGCCGCGACTGATGCAGCTGCCTGGAGCAAAAGTATTAGCTTCTGACGGGATAACAGAGGGGGAGAGTGCGGATAGGGATGGGCTAAGTGAGCCTCAACAGGCTATGCAGCAACAGGAAGAGGCTAAGCGGGCTAGGCCAACCAGAGGAAGCGTTGAGCATCTTCCTAGCCCTCTCTCTCAAGCAGGGTTCCAACCAGAGGAACGGCTCGGTTCAGGGGTTGGGCGGCTGACTGACAGACTTCAGACTGACTCTGCTGACATTCTGACGGATTCTAACAGAGGCTTAGGTGGCACTGACCGACTGACAACAGCTGATGGAGCCGTAGCAGTTGAGTGGCATGGGGGTGAGCTGGTAGGTGCTGGCAGGGAGAGGAGTGTTGATGGTACGGCTATGTTGGTAGCGCATGGCAGGGCTATGGTGGTGAATCGAGAGGGTATGGAGGTAGATGACGATGTGGAGGAGACACACGGTGGGCGTTTACTCACTGCTCAGGATGCTGAGAGGCCAGGGGCGTGGGAGGAAGAGTTGAGAGCCCCAGCAGGAGAGCCAGCAGGGGTGGCTGCTCAGTCCACTCGAAAGTCACTTAGTGGGAGCGTATTGGGCGCCCAAATGGAGAATGGGTGGGGTTTGGAGAGAGAGCTGAGAGTGGAAGCACCAGAGCCAGCAGGGGAGATTGACGGAGACCAAATGTCCCCTGATGATGCTGCAGTTCCCATGGCCACGCCTGTGTATGGATCCATGGAGAACGAGCAGTGGGGGGAGGGGAACAGAGGTGACTTCGAAGGAAGTGATAGTGACGAGGGCTCTGTTGTAGTGGCGGATGTTGTGGAGTTGGAGGGTGGTGAAGTGGGAGGTTTGGCGTTTACAGGTAGAGAGGATGGGAGGGAAGAGGGATGGGAGGAGGAAGCGGTGGAGGAGGAGGAGAGGGAAATGGGAGAGGAGGAATCAGAGGAGGAGGATGAGGAGGAGGAGGAAGAGGGGGAGGGAGCGGAGGAGGAAGAGGAGGAGGCGAAGTCAGTCCGGCAAGGCGGCTGGGGTGTGGATGTGGGGTTGGGGGGGGCAGTGCAGGATGAGGAAGAACAGGATGAAAAGGAAGAGCAGGATGAGGAGGAAGAGGAGGAGGAAGAGGGGGTGGAAGAAGAAAAGGAGGAGGATGAGGGTTATAGTTTGGACGAACAGGTCAAGGTTGAGGAGGAGAAGGAGAGAGTGGGGGTAGATTATTGGGATGAGGTGGTGGAGATGGACGAGGAGAAAGAGGAAGAGGAGGAGGCTTTCAGCCTGGCCACTGTAGTGGCTGAAGAGGCAGCTGCTGTCATGACTGATGAGGTGGTTACTGTAACGGGTGATGAGGCGGTTACCGTAACGGTCGATGATTCGGTTACCGTAGCGGCTAATAAGCTGGTCGTTGACTTGTCTGATGGTTATGATGAGGAGGAAATGATAGAGGAACTCCAAGCAGAGAGCCTGGAGGATGGGGGGACGGGGGGGAACCCGAGCACAAGCAAGGGAGGGGAAATCAAGAGCAAGAGCAGCGGAATGAGGAGTAAGAGCAGCGGGAGTCTGTTTCGCGGCCTGAGGAGCAGAAGCAAGCTGCTATTAGGAGGCAGCAAGGCAGGGGCTCGGCATGGGGAGACGGGCAGTCAGGAGGAGCACTATGGTTCAACCACAGGTGTACTGGCAGGTACATTGATGCAGGACAACAGTGGCAGTACTTTTGATGGCTCTTCAGGCAACTCTTCTCACTCTTCTGCTCCTCTCGCGTTCCCAGCAACACTCTCTGTCAATACCGCTGCCAGCAGCAGCGCCATGAGCAGCAGCAGCAGCAGCAGCGGTATGGCAGGGCTGCGAGCACGCTCCTTTGCTGCAGTGGGAAACGTCAGAAGCGGTATCTCCTCAGCAGCGATAAAAGCAGCGGCTGGGATCAGCTCAGGAGCACGTAACGTCTCTGCGGTTACCAGCCTCCCTGGCGCTGCTGCTAGGAACGTGGCTGCTGCAGCAGGGGAGGTGGGGCAGGGGGCGAGAAGCCTTGCTGCAGTGGCAGCAGGGGGGGTGGCTACTGGTGCTGCTACTGTTGCAGGGGGGATAAAGGGAGGGGCTAGGAATGTGGCAGGGGGGATTAAGGGGGGAGCGATGACGGTGGCTGGAGGGGTGAGAGATGGGGCGTTGACGGTAGCAGGAGGGGTGAAAGGAGGGGCTATGACTGTTGCAGGAGGGGTGAGAGATGGGGCGTTGACGGTAGCAGGAGGGGTGAAAGGAGGGGCTATGACTGTTGCAGGAGGGGTGAGAGATGGGGCTTTGACGGTGGCAGGGGGTGTGAAAGAGGGAGCCTTGACAGTGGCAGGGGGAGTGAAAGGAGGGGCTTTAACTGTAGCAGAGGGGGTGAAAGAAGGGGCTTTAACAGTAGCAGGGGGAGTGAGCGGGGGTGCGCTGACAGTGGCTGGCGGGGCACAGAGCGTGGCATTTGCAGCAGCGGGAGGAATCAAGGAAGGCGCTAGGAGCATGGCAGGCACTGCAGTAGCAGCAGCAGCGGTGGCCGCAGGGGGGATCAAAGAGGTGGCATCTGAGATCAAGCATTTGGCAGAAGAGGTTGCAGCTGGGCAGGCTGGGGCAGGCTCTGGCAGGATGCAAAGGGTGCATAATGTTGTGAACAGAGAGGATAGGGAGGAGGATAGAGAGGGCGAGGAGGGTGACGAGAGGGGGTTGTTGGAGAGTAGTGGCTTGGGTAAGAGCAGGAGTAGAGATGGGGCCACGAGCACCGTGCGAACCAGCCCTGGTTCCTTTACAGGCAGATCCGTTACAAGGAGTAAGACCCACGACAGCCGAATCATCAGCAACAGCAGCTCCAGCCCTGTCGTGCCTGCCAGCCTTGGTAGGAGGAGCAGGAGTGGGAAGGAGAGGGATGCTCCTGGCACCTTCACGGAAGGTTCCTTCGATGCAGACTCCTTCCTGGATGGTTCCTTTGATTCAGACACCCTGCCCAGGTGGTCCTTCGATGCAGCTTCCTTTCACTCCAGCCCAGCCCATACAGACCCTTTCAATCCGGATTTTTTCGCTATAGATTACTCAGGCGATCTTGGCACTAGTAATACTAGTACCAAATCACCCTCTAGAGGGGATACCAGCAGGGGAGAGGCACTCTCACGTAAGGAGTCTAGAAGCAACCTGTTGACGAGAAAGGGTGGTAGTGCTAGGATGGCTAGAAGCGAAACTGCCACTCCTGCTCTGACTTCTTCACCGGGTCATTTGCCCTCCGCTGTAAAGCCAAATTCGCTTGTACGGAGTGCCACTGCAGTAGCCCCAACCTCTGGTGGACCTCATTCTGGTTCCGTTCTCGCCTCTCAACCGCATTCAACCGCTTGGTCTGTCGCTCAAGAGGACTGCACTGGAGCAGCAGTTAGGGCGCTGCCTAGCAACAAGACCACTGGCGGAGTGAGCGGCAGCAGTGTTGCCGGGGGAAGAGGGAGTCTGAATATTTGGGGCAATGCAAGCTTCCAGCATCCCCGCAAGGGGCATTCCAGATATTTGCCCGAGGAAAACCCGTTCCTCAGGGTGACTAGCCTCGCTGCTCTTTCCCCTGAAGATGCTCTGTTGGCATTGTGGGAGGAGGAGGGGGAGTTTGAGGAAGGGGGGGAGGGCAAGAGAGGGATAAGAAGCTCCCACTCCCGCCGTTTCCATGCCTCCGGTCTTGCCATTGCCGGGGCTGCTGCCGCAGCTGCGGCAGGGGTTCGGTCCGGAGCTAAGAATGTAGCTTCGGGAGCGATGAACGTGGGGGAGGGGATCAAGGGAAGGGCAAGGAACGTTGCATCGGGAGTGGAGAGTATCGCTGGTTTGCCTGGTGGGTCGAGCGTGGGTGGTGGTATTGCGTTGCGGGGTGGGAGCGTGGGCAGGAGCTGCTGCAGGCAGGCTCCTAGGACTGATACGTTTGGGCACAACGCGTCGTTTGTTGATAGGTTTGTTGCGGGGTTGGAGGAGAGCGGGGTGGGTGTGGAGGGAGAGAGCGGACGGGATTTAGGGGGGGAGGATTGGGAGGTTGGAAGCGGTGATGACGGATGGGGAGGGATGGAGGAGGGAGTTGGAGAGGAGGATGAGGAGTGGGAGTTGGCGGAGGAGGGTGAAGAAGGGAAGAGGGAGGGTGAGGGGTTAGAGGAGGAAGAAGGACGGTCGGAGGGGTTGGAGGGGGAGGGTGTGTTGGAGATCTCTCAGAAACACCAGGGGCAGCGCAGGGGGCGAATGTCACGTGCATTTTCCAGCAGTGCGGTTTCGGTGCTTGCCCTTCCTGGCAGCAGTATGGGTGAGGAGGAGGAGTTTAGTGCAGCTGGCAGTGCAGCCATGCGACGATCAGTGAGCAGCAGGAGCAGCGGTAACGTGGTAACCGTCGGTCTTGCCGTAACCAGCAGCAGCAATGCGATAGCCGATAGTGCTGCAGTAACCAGCGCTGCTGCTTTGACCAGCAAAGCAGCGGAGGGGCAGCACAGCCGGCGGGCTTTGCCGGCCTACCAGGTGCCCCTGTCCCTCCGCATCAGAGCAGCCTTGGAGCAACGCACTCTAGAGGGCGGGAGTGAGGGAGTGCTGGCAACGGCATTGCACGCGTCCACATCCTTGGGTGACGAATCTAGGCTTGTTGCCAGGTCAGCCTCATTTACAGGGGGAGCAGCATGGTCGGAGAGTCCAGCTGGCAGTGCCACGTCAGCATCGCTGGATAGTGTTCCCGGTTCCCGCTCCCCGCAGCAGCAGAGCCAGCGGATGCTGCAAAGGGCTAAGTCCGAGGGTAGGAATGCTGCTGCTGCTGGTTCGTCTTCATCCTCCTTATTGCATGCTTCACGGTTGCGTTTTGCATCCCAGACGGGTCGCAGTGGTTCCATGTCAGGGGGTCGCTCTGGTTCAAGGAAGCGACTTCAAGAAATGTTCCAAGAGCAGCAGCAACAGCACCAACAGCAGCAACAGCAACAGCAGCAGCAACAGCACCAACAGCAACAACAACAGCAACAACAACAGCAACAACAACAGCAACAACAGCAACAGCACCACCACCAACAACAGCAACAACAGCAACTACAACAACAGCAACAACAGCAACAGCACCAACAACAACAACAGCAACAACAGCAACAGCACCAACAACAACAACAGCAACAACAGCAACAGCAGGAGCAAGAGCAGCAGCAGCAGAAGCAGCAGCAAAGGAGGCTGTCAAGTCGTGGGTTGGGCAGGAGAGGGCTGTACTTGAGGCAATGGGCCTCAGCGGGATGCCCCTCTCCCTTAGACGCTGCTGCAGATGCTGCCCTAGCTGCTGCCTCAGGTGTCCGCTCAGGTGCTTCAGGTGCCAGCTCAGCTGACTATTCAATTGTGGCCTCAGGAGCTGTCTCAGGTGCCGCGTCAGCAGCCTCCTCTCCCCTGCGCTCCTCATTCACTGCACAGCCACGTGGCAGCTCTCCAGCGGCCTATTTTCTACGTGGCAGCCTCTCAATGGTGCACCGTTTTGTCTTTATAGATCCCCCAGCCAGTAGCATTCGGCCCGTTGCCACCACCGCCAGCAGCAGTAACCCCACTTATCATGGTAACTTCAGTAACTCTGGTAACCACAATAACTCCAATAACTTCAGTAACCCTAGTAACCCTAATAACCCCAACTACTTGAAGCGGATTGGCAGCGACAGGCGTGACCGATTCTCTCGCAGTAGCAACTCAAGTCTGTTCCGTGAGAGTAAGCCTTCCCAGCTCCTCTGCAAGAGCAAGAGCAGCAGCATCAGCAGTGACTGGAGGCGTGATGTTAGCACGCACGAGAAGCAGCAGATCAGCATGACAAGGGATGCTGCTGCTTCTCTCCATCGCTCCAAGTCCTCTGGAGCGTCACTGGACAGTGCCACAGTTAGCGAAGATTCTGTTTCTTGGCAGCAGACTGAGCAGAAGGAGCAGGAGGCGCAGGAGCAGCAGGAGCAGCAGGAGCAGCAGGTGCAGCAGGTGCAGCAGTCGCAGCCAGTGAAGCCGAAACTGCAAAAGCTGAGCTCCCGCTCCAACCGTGACTCAATTGTTTTGCAGAAGGAGCAGGAGCAGGAGGAGCAGAAGGTGCAGCAGGAACAACAGGATCAGTTGCAGCAGGCACAGCAGTCACAACCAATGAAGCCGACACTGCAGAAGCTCAGCTCGCGCTCCAACCGTGACTCACCTGTCTTGCCTCACTGCTCCCCTCGCTCCTCTTCCCTCCCTGCTGATCCCTCCTCCACATCCTCCCTCTCCTCTTCCTCCTCCTCTCTCCCCTCCTCTCTCCCGTCCTCGCAGCGACATGCAGTGGATCTTACCACCTCCTTCCCTCAGTTTAGGCGAGAGATTTCCCGCATCCGCTGCTTGTCATCCCTCAAATCCGCTGCTGTGTCTGCTGGCGCTGCTGCCTCTGCTGCCTCTGCTTCGTCTGCTTCTGCTGCGTCTGTGTCTCTGAGTGGTAGAAAGCACCGCAAGGAGCAGTGGCAGGAGTGGGCCGAGCAAGTGACAGGAAAGAAGTTCCTGTCACGACAGCTCAACGAGCAGCAGGAGGAGAAGCCGCGGAGTTGTGATGAAAATCAAACGGATCAGCAGTCAGATCAGCAGAAGGATTGGGAGCAGGATCAGCAACCGGTGCAGCAGCAGGCGCGGCACTTACAAGGCAAGCCACCAAGACCCGGGCTTCACCGCAGCACCAGAGCACAGTCTCTCAACAGGCTTCATCCAAAGGCCCCTCCTTCAGAAGCGCCTCGTAAGTCACCTCTTGGTTCGAGGTCCCTCAGGAGCAGTCTGAGTGCGCAATCCACTCTCAACAACACGGGCCACCCAGACCTCCCTCCTCGCTTCCCCTCGCCAGGTACCTCCTCAGATGCCTCAGGTGAGTCCCCAGGTGCTTCTCCAGGTGATTCGCCAGGTGTCTTTTCTCAGGTGCGTCCTCAGGTGCTTTCGCAGGTGTTCCAGTTCCTCTTTGAGACACACTTATCACCGGAACCCTCACTGCCTGCTCGTGCGAACCTGCTTCTTACAAAATGCGCTGAGCTGTCAAGGTTTGAGCGTAGAGAGCTGTCAATCAGAGGGCTTATTCTGAGGCCGGAGGGAGGCGTGAGTGTGAGAAAGGAGGAGAGGAAGGTGGGTGTGGAAGAGGGAGAGCAGGACAGGGATGGGGAGGGGGAGAAGGAGCTTGAGGAGGGGAGGATGGCGGAGGAGAACGAGTGCGGTGCAGAGGGGTTGGGAGCGGGAGAGGGCGGTGGTGCGGAGAGGGAGAGGAGTAAGCTGGTGTGGGAGAATCTAGAGCAGCAGCTGGAGGTGCAGAGGGAGGAGGAGGAGAGGCGAGAGAGATTATTAGAGCAGCAGCGAGCGGAGAGAAGGGAAGAGCAAGGAGAGAGCAGAGAGGAGCAAGCAGAGAGCAGAGAAGAGCAAGCAGAGAGCAGAGAGCAGAGCGATGCTGTTGGTGGCGGGGAGTTGGTTGGGGCCAGTGCAGGGCAGGGTGATGAGGTGGATGAGCGTGGTGCTGTGGGGTTGAATCCGGTGCTGGTGCCGGCCAAACCGCTGCGCATGCTCTCCCGGCTAAATGCCACCCGACGCCGTCCATCTGAAGACAACAGTTTTTACAGTAAGAGTGTGGGAAGTAAAGGAGGAGAGGAGGAGGAGGGTGATCAAAGCGGGACTGAGGGTGAGGGAGATGAGGGGGAGGAGGATGGGAAGGCGGAAGGCAAGAAGGGCGAGGATGTTTTATCACCGAGAGAAGAAGCCATGCTGCTCCTGTGGGTGATCCCTGGGTTAGGGGGCGAGGAGGAGGAGGAGGAGAGGAGGAGGGTGAGAATACGTCAAGCCCTGGCAGCTGCAGCAGGCGGGATTGCGAGTGGGGCTTTAACTGTAGCGGGGGGGATCAAGGGAGGGGCGTTGAATGTTAAGGAAGGAATTAAAGAAGGGGCATTGAATGTTAGGGAGGGGATTAAAGGAGGGGCGCTGAATGTAAAGGAGGGAATCAAGGGAGGAGCAATTAGTGTAAAAGAAGGGATTAAAGGAGGCGCGTCCAATGTCAGGGAGGGGATTAAAGAAGGGGCGATGAATGTGAAGGAGGGGATCAGGGGAGGGGCGTTGAATGTTAAAGAAGGGATCAAAGAAGGGGCGCTGAATGTGAAGGAAGGGATTAAGGGAGGCGCAAGGAACGTGGCGTCTGTGGCAGTGGCAGCGGCAGCAGCAGCAGCATCGGGGATTGCATCTGGTGAGTCTAGAAGGACCCATAGCATGGGTCGTCTGCCCCGACGTATGACTCTGAGTGGTGATGATTCTAACTGGGGGTGGGATGGTGAGGGAGGAGGGAGAGGAGAGGCAGGAGGAGAGGGAGTGGGAGGAGGCGAAGGAGGAAGAGGAGGAGGAGAGGGAGTGGGAGGAGGGGGAGGAGGCGGGAACAGGTTTTTCCAGACGCTAGGTAAGGTTAAGGGAACAGTCTTGGGGTTAAGCAGCAAGGGCCTACACAGAAGGGAGACGTTTGGGGCAACTAGCCCTGTTTCTCCCGGGTTCTTTCACAATACGCCCAGTATTTTCCATCGTAAGTCAGCGCCTGCCGAAGAGACAGTGCTTGTTCCTATGGGCAGTGGTACGGAGAAAGTGGTGAGAAGCAAGAGTGCGGAGCACAAGGGAGTGAGGGAGGTTGGGTTGAATCCAAGGGTGGGAGTGAGGGAGGTTGGGTTGAATCCAAGGGTGGGAGTGAGGGAGGTTGGGTTGAATCCAAGGGTGGGAGTGAGGGAGGTTGAGCGTTCACGCTCTGGTGACCTGGGGAGGTCGCATTCAGGGGAGGTGGGAGCTGACTCTGGGGCGCTTCAAAGCCTGGGGAGGTCGTATTCAGGGGAGGAGGGATCTGGCTTTGGGGCGCTTCAAAGCCCGGGGAGGACTTATCTGGGGGAAGTGGATATTGGTGCTGTTGGGTTCGCAAAGGTGGTACGGAGATACGACGATGATGATGAGGAGGAGGATAATAGTGAGCGTGTCAAAAACGAGGATGGCAATAACGAGGCCTTCTGGTGGGGGGACTACGAGGAAGAGGAGCAGCTGATGCTGGATGATTCAGATGAAGATTCAGGTGACACTTCAGGTGAATGTTCACGGAACCCAGTTGTGCTTGGTGGTTTGGAGGAAGGCAAGGTTATTAGTGGACGTGTGGTAAAGGGAGGGGCATTAGAATTGGGAAACGGGTGGGATGAGGGAAGAGGATTGGAAGAGGGAGAGGGGTTAGGGAAGGGGCTGGAAGGGGGAGGAGGACAGGGAAGGGTAGTTGCAGGATGGGGTGCTCTGAAAAAGCTTGACAGTAGGCGAGGAGATCGACGGTCGAGATCATCGTTTGGTTCCGATCTACCCTCCGTGGATGAAGAGATGGAGGTGGTGGATGGGTGTTTGAGTGAGGAGGGGAGGGAGAGGGAGGAGAGGAGAGAGAGGGAGGAGAGAGAGGAGGGGAGAAGGGAGGAGGGGAGAGAGGAGGAGGAGGGAAGAGAGGAGGGGAGAGAGGAGGAGGAGGGAAGAGAGGAGGGGAAGGGGAGTGAAGGGGAGGAGAGGAGAGTGGTGGAGTGGGGGATTGAGGGGGGAGGGGGGAGCGAGCCGGAGGAAGAAAGAGAGGCGGAGGAAAAAACAGAGATGACGGAAGGAGAGTTGGAGGAGATTGGGAGTGAAGGGGACGAGGAGGCTAGGAGTGACGGGGAGGAGGGGAGAGTGGTGGAGGGGGGGATAGAGGGAGAAGAGGGGAGCGAGGCGGAGGAAGAAAGAGAGGTGGGGGAGAAAACAGGGATGAAGGAAGGATATTTGGAAGAGATGGAGAGTGAAGGGGAGGAGGAGGAGACTAGGAGTGAAAGGGAGGAGGAGGAGACTAGGAGTGAAAGGGAGGAGGAGGAGACTAGGAGTGAAGGGGAGGAGGAGGAGAGAGAGGCGGAGGAGGTAAGCTGCGTTGAGGTGGTGGGAGTGGTGCAGGAAGCGAGAGAGGCAGAGGAGGGTGCAAAGGTGGATGAGGAGAGAGAGGTGGAAGGGGAAAGCGAGGAGGGAGGAGGAGAGGCTGAGGTGAAAACAGGAATGAAGGAAGGAGAGGAGGAGGAGATGGGGAGTGAAGCGGAGGAGGAGGAGACTAGGATTGAGGCGGGGGAGGGAAGCTGCATTGGGGAGGTGGGAATGGTGCAGGAAGCCAGAGAGGTAGAGGAGGTTGCAAAGGTGGATGAGAAAAGAGAGGTGGAAGGGGAAAGCGAGGTAGAAGGGGAAAGAGAGGTGGAAGGGGAAAGGGAGGTGGAGGAACGAGAGGTGGAAGGGGAAAGAGAGGTGGAGAAACGAGAGGTGGAAGGGGAAAGAGAGGTGGAGGAACGAGAGGTGGAAGGGGAAAGGGAGGTGGAGGAACGAGAGGTGGAAGGGGAAAGAGAGGTGGAGGAACGAGAGGTGGAAGGGGAAAGGGAGGTGGAGGAAAAAGGAGAGGCAATGGAGCGAACAGGGATGGAGGGAGGAAAGGCTGAAGAAGAAGTTGAGCGTGAAAGAGTGGAGGAGGAGAGCGAGGAGGAGAAAGAGGAGAAAGAGGAGAAAGAGGGGAACAGTAATCGCGTTAGGGAAGTGGAATTGGAGGAGGAAGGGGGAGAGAGTCCGGAGGGTACACATATGCAAGGGGAGCGAGAGGAGGGGGAGGAGGAGGAGAGTGAGGTGGGGAAGAGACAAGGATTGGAAAATGGAGAAGAGAGCGAAGAGAGTGAGAAGAGTGAGGAGGGAAATCATATGGACGAGCAAGATTTGGAGGAAGATGGGGAGAGTAGAGGCGAGCAAGTGAGGGAGGGGGAGGAGGGAAGGGAGAGGAAGGAGGGCGTAGAGGCGGAGGGAAAAGAAGAGAGGATACAAGGAGTGGTGGAGATGGGTGCAATAGTAAAGGAGGGGGTAGATGGGAGGGCAGAGGCCACAGCGGAATTAATAGGCGCTGCAGAACGATTAGAAATGGCAGATGCGGCAGAAGGAGCAGAAGTGGCAGAAGGAGCAGTAGTGGCAGAAACAGCAGTAGTGGCAGAAACAGCAGTAGTAGCAGACGGAGCAGTAGTGGCAGAAACAGCAGTAGTGGCAGAAGCAACAGTAGTGGCAGAAGCAACAGTAGTTGCAGGAACAGCAGTAGTGGCAGAAGCAACAGTAGTTGCAGAAACAGCTGGAGAAGGAGCATTAGTGGCAGAGACAGGTGAAGCAGCAGAGGTAGCCGGGGGGGAAACAGAATCAGCAGCTGAAACAGTAGTTGCTGAGCCATTGCTGCCAGCTGTAGTGGCTGCTGCTGTTGCTGCATCAGATGTAGCTTATTCAGACGCACCTGCATCAGACATACCTGTTTCAGATGTACCTGCCTCAGACGTACCTGCCTCAGATGTACCTGCCTCAGACGTACCTGCCTCAGACATACCTGCCTCAGATGTACCTGCCTCAGACGTACCTGCCTCAGACGTACCTGCCTCAGACGTACCTGCCTCAGACATACCTGCCTCAAATGTACCTTCCTCAAGCTCCACAGCAACAGATACCCCTTCCATCCGCCGAATCGGGTCGGCAGTGGCAGCAGCGGTGGCAGCAGGAGACGTGGTGATAAGCGAGAGTGCAGCTGGTGCTGCCGTGCTGTTGCATGCAGACCAACCTCTCTTTGAACGGACTCAGGAGCTGTCGGGGAGGCGAGGGGCAGCAGATGGAGCAGCAGCAGAAGCAGAAGCAGAAGGAGAGGCAGAAGCAGCTACAGCAACAGCAATAGCAGAGGAAGAGGGGAGTGTGGGGCATGGGAGTGTGGAGGAGAGGAGTGTTGGTGAAGGGAAGAAAGGAAAGAGTAAGGTAAAAGGAGGCGAGAAAAAGGCGTTGCTCAAGTCACCTTCCAGGAAGATTCATCGGCAGGAGTCGCGGGATGGGGAGACGAGCGGGGATGACGTGATGAAGAGCGGACGGGTGAGGAGAAGCAAGAGTAAGTTGAAGAAGGGAGAAGGGGAAGCAAGTGAGGAGAGGCAGGAGGCAGGAGGAGACATTGAGGCAGGAAGTAAGGTCAGAAAGAGTATGAAAAAGGGGAATAAGATCCACAGCAAAGAGGAACACAAGGGGCAGCAGCAGCAAGGGGGGGAGCAAGAGGAAGAGAAGGAGAAAAAGAAGGAACAGGAGCAGCAGGAGCAGCCACCGCAGGAGCTGCTAGCGAACGTGACAATCCGTCATATGCTGCCCACAGGGGAGCTCGCAACCACGCCTCAGCGGCTCTCCATCCCTGCTGCACCCCTCTCCCCCACCACTCTCACCAGCCCCACCAGCGCCACCAGCACACCTCGCAGCAACGCCTCCTCTCCCGCCTCCCCTGCTGGCTCCTTCAGCTTCGCCCTGCTCTCCCCTGCCACTCCTAAGCAGCCCCGTAAACGGGACAGTGCTGCTGATGCTGCTTCTGGTGCTGCGAGTGCTGATGGTGGTGGTATTCTGGGTGGTCTTGGTGCGAGTGGGGCGGACGGTGCTGCTGCTGCAGGGAAGAAGGTGAAGAAGGGGAAGAAGAAAGCGGTTCGCCTGCCTGCGATTGGTGAGATGGAGGGCAGTGAGGGCGAGGTGAAGGAGGGGAGTGGTGACAGGAAGAAAACTACCAAGAAGCACCTCTTCAGGGGAGCATCAGTCGCATCAGCATCATCTGCAGACTCCCGAGCCTCTAAAGCTTCGGTAGCATCAGTAGCATCTACAGCATCAGTAGCATCTGTAGCATCAGCAGCAGCATCAGTGGTTTCAGCAGAATCGGTTGTTTCGAGTGTGTCAACCACATCGTCAGGTAAACCCCGAAAGTCACCCGGTGGCAAGCCACCAACCACCCCTACCACCCCATCCACTACAGCCACCCCAGTCATTCCATCTTCTCGTGAGCTCCAAGTTTCACCCAGCAGACGATCATCAGTGGACGATTCTAGTGGCTCTCTGAGTGGGCCTGGTCGGGGAATGATTCCCCAGAGCATGAGCGCTTCACATGCCACTTCTGCTGCTGCTGCCGCTGCCGCTGTTGCCGCTGTTGCTGCTGTTGAACGCAGCAGCAGCAGCAGCAGCAGCAGCAGGCGACAGTCAGTGGACAACGATTTTAGCGGCAGTGGCATTGCAAGCTCTCCTGTGCGTAGAATTATTCCTCAGAGCATGAGCGCATCGCACTCTGGTACTGTTGAGCGCAGCAGCAGCAGCAGGCGGCAGTCAGTGGACGATTCCAATGGCAGTGGCACTCACTGCTCACCAGTGCGCAGAATGATCCCTCAGAGCATGAGCGCATCACATTCGACTGCCGCTGCCGCCGCCGCCGCCGCCGCTGTTGCTGCTGTTGAGCGCAGCAGCAGCAGCAGGCGGCAATCAGTGGACGATTTTAGCGGCAATGGCACTCACAGCCCTCCCGTGCGCAGAATGATCCCTCAAAGCATGAGTGCATCGCACTCAGGTCCGGTGGTTAGGTTTCAACTGCCAGGGGAGGTCCTTTCTGACCCGCCCCGATCCCCGCCTACAGCCCATTGTAGCCCTTATCGGGTGCCCCCCCGTTCCCCGAATATGGCTCATTCTAGCCCAACCCAAAGCCCGCCTGGTAGAAGAATGATCCCCCAGAGCATGAGCGCGTCGCAAGCCGTGTCCTGGCTCCCCCCTATGGCTCGTTCTCCCACCAGCTCTCCCAACACGTCTAGGCGGGTTTCTATGGATGATCCCAGCGGCAGCAGGAGGGGTGCTGTGTCGCCACACAGACGGGTTTCTGTGGATGATTCTAGTGGTGCTCTGAGTGGTGTGAGTGGGTCTAGACACAGAATGATTCCCCAGAGCATGAGCGCTTCACATGCCACTTCTGCTGCTGCTGCTGCCGCTGCTGTTGGTGGTGTTGAGGGTGGCAGGAGCAGCAGCAGAGGGGTATCGCCGGTTAAGAGCAGCAGCAGCAGCAGAAGCAGGAGTGTGTCTCCTGTGGATTTCAAGCGGCTGCGGTGGAAAGGGTTTGGGAGGAGTGCAGGGAAGGAGGGGGGGGAGGAGGGAAGGCGTGCAGGTGGAGGGGAGGGTGGGGAATGGAGGGAGGAGGAGGAGGAGGTGGAGGAGGAGGAATTGGAGGAGGGGGGTGCTGCATCTGGCAAGAAGAAGGGCGGTGAGTCGAAGAAGGGTGGGTTGGGCAAGATTCTAAAGGGGCTGGATTCATCAATGGGGAAATTGATCAAGGCAGCTGGAGGGAAGAAGGGTAAAGACCATGGTTCCACCGCTCCTTCTCCTGCTGCTGCCCCTGCTGCTTCTTTTGCGGTTGGTGCTGCTTCTGCTGAGTCTGCCGGAGAGGCTGCAGGAAAGGTTAAGCGAACTATGAGCACGAAGGGGAAAGAGGTGGGCAAGGGGAAGGAGGGAGGGATGGAGGCTAGAGTTGGTGTGTTGGTAAAGAGTGGCAGTGTGGAAGAGGAGCGGGGAGAGGAGAAGAGGATGGGAAGGACAATGAGTAAGGTGAAGAGAGGAGGGAAGGAGGAGGATGGGGAGAAGAGTAAGGAGGAAAATTCGGGTGTGGTGACTGGGAAAGGAGGGGAAAGGAAGGCAGGAAGGACGCTCAGTAAAGTGGAGAGGAAGGGAAAGGAGGGGAAGGATGGGGGGGAATCCGAGGGAGGGGATTATGAGAGGAAGGCGAGCAGAACACTGAGCAGGAAGAAGCAAGAAGGAAAGGGGGTGGAGGAGGATGGTGAGGGTAAGGTGAGCAGAGTGAAGGGAGAGGAGGTGGAATCGGAGGAGGATGGGGATGGGAAGATGAGGAGGACGATGAGTAGGAAGAAGAGGGGGGAGGAAAGGGAGAAAGGTGGGGAGGAGGAGGAGGAGGATGTAGAAAGAAAGGTGAAGAGGACAATGAGTAGGAAGAAGAGAGAGGACGAGGGGGAGAAAGGAAGGATGAGCAGGACAATGAGTAGGAAGGAGAGAGGGGATGGGGGGGAGATGATGGACAAGGGGGAGGAGGAGGGGGGAGAGAACAAGAGCAAGAAACCCTCAAGTAAGTCAAAGAGGGAGAAAGCGATGATGAGTGGGGAGTCAGGCGCAGAGGAGGAAAGAAAGCGACATGGGACTAAGGATGAGAAGACGGTGAATAGGACGCTGAGTAAGATGAAGCGTGAAGGGAAAGGGGGAGGAGGAGAGGGAGGGGGAGAGGGAGGGGGAGAGGGAGGGGGAGAGGAGAAGAAAGCCAGTCGGACGCTAAGTAAAGTGAAGAGAGAGGAGACGGAGGACGAGGAGGGTGGGGAGAGGAAAGCAAGCAGGACGCTAAGCAAGGTGAAGAGAGGAGAGAAGGAAAGTGAGGGGTTGGAGGAAAGAAAGGCGAGCAGAACGTTAAGCAGAGTGAAGCGAGGGGAGGAGGGCACTCAGGAGGACGTGGAGAGGAAAGCAAGCAGAACGCTAAGCAAAGTGAAGAGGGGAGAGAAGGAAGAGGGGGAGTTTGAGGAAAGAAAGGCGAGCAGGACGTTAAGCAAAGTGAAGAGGGAAGGCGGGCACGGGGATGGGGGTGGGGGAGAGAAGAAGGCCAGTCGAACCCTAAGCAGGGTGAAGAGAGAAGGAAACGAAGCTGGAGGTGGTGATCGTGCGGACAGCAGCGCGCACAGAGCCACTCGCAGCAGCAGCCACGGGCACGAGTCCTCTCACAGGCGAGCCACCTCGCATGGGAGCATCACGGGGCGGGAGAGCTTTCACAGCCATGAGAATTCGATGAGCTCTGGCAGCAAGGGGAGCAAGGAGAGTGAGAGAGGGGCGGACGGGAGAAAGGCTGCCCGCACGCTGAGCAGGCATAGGGATGATGGGGCAGAGAGGGGTGATGCAGGGAACGGGAAGTACGGGGGTGGAATTGGAGAGGAGGATCGGGAGGGGAGGCTTTCGAGGCCCAGAACGGCCGACAGTGGCGGAGTGGGTGGTGGGGGATGGGTGCAGCTGGGTTTGCCGAAACATGGAGTGGTAACGATGGGTCTGCAGGAGCAGCTGTCGCCTTTTGAGGCCCCACTGCCGCCTCAGAAACCGCCCGTTTCTCCGGTTTCGGGTGGCATATGGAAGGCAATCTCGTCGTTTGCCACGTCACCGCGCGCCAGCTCGTCGCATGCTATGTCAGGTGCCACGTCACCACTGATGTCACCGTCTGGTTCGTCGGCTCTTCCCACATCTCCTCTGGGCTCACCCACCCATGCCAAGTCACCCACATTGAAGTCACCCACGTTAAAGTCACCTAGGATGAAAATTCCGTTTATGGAGTCCGGTAAGGCGAGTAAGTTGGGCAAGAGCAAATCGGCGAAGGTTAGTCGTGACAAGGATGAGCAGGCCAAGGAGAAAAAGAAGGAGAAGGAGAAGGAGAATGAGAAGGAGAAGCAGAAGCAGAAGGAGAAGGAGAAGGAGAAAGAAAAGAAAAAGGAGAAAGTGAAGGGCAAGGGGAAGGGGGGTGTTGAAGATGGTGAGAAAGCAAGGGCTAAGAGCCCAATGAAGGGTGTGTGAAATTTCTGTAGAATGGAGCTGGGGCTGAGAGTACCACTGATTATAATATCCTTGACCTAATTCAGTCATTGTGATCTAGTCAGGATGGCTAATATGTATATATATTTTTTTAACATGTTTTGGCTATTCTATGTCACGTCTCGCCTCGAGCTTATTCGTGCTTGCGAGTGTGTCTAGCTTTGAACTGTGTGAAAACGGAGAACTCTCAATAGAATTTGGGTGAAAGTAACCCCTGGTTTCTGATTGGTTGTTATCCTGTGAGTATGAGCTCAACCCTTCGGCATTTGACGATCAGTGAACTGTTTTCTGCGAATCGAAACCGTACACATCCTCGCGAGCTCAGCCCGCCAAAACAAATGACGAATCACAAATGAATGATGAAGTCAAGGGACAATAGCCTGGACGTCATTCTCCTTCAGCGCCACCATGGCGTACCTCTGTTCCACCAGTTCGACACGTCATAGGATGTAATCTACGAGTTGTCGCAAAGCAGAAAACATGTAGCTACCAGTCTAGTTTAAAATTGCCAATTGTCATAGATCTCCTAAGTATATGCGTCCTCGCCTCGAACTCCCACTCGCCATGGCGATTCCTCTCCAACTTACTACTTACCTCTTGAATAAGGTAAACCAAGTTCAAGCCAAAGCGCAGTCAATCAGCGAGTAATCGGCGTACCTTCCGTTCGGGGGGAACTATCCCGTCTTCTGCCTGAAGCCGAACCTAACCCTTAGTTTCTACTTAGACCACAGCTGAAAGGAACAAAAAAAATCCTTGTAGTGACACCCATGGGACGCGTAATTTCCGCAATGGCCAGCATTCGTGCGCCTCCTCTCGTCGCAACCGTCCCCTTTCTCCCCCGCCGCTCCTTGCCTCCGCTGGCCTCTCTCCGCGTGGACTCCACAGCAGCTTCCGCCATGCTCGCCCGTTTTACGTCCGCAAAATCGCAACCGTCCGTTCCCGTTCCGTTCGCTTGCGGCAAATCTCCACCGTCTAGGCAAAGCACACGGACACCGGAATTCGCACGTTATGGAGCATATTATTATCGCTCGACCAGACTGGAAATAGGCTATGGATATTGCAGGAGGAGCGACTTCGGCGGGTGCGGGACCAAGGGTCGGAGAGGCGTTCTGATCGTGTCGGCGACAGCCGGCAACCGGTGGTTTCAGGGAGGCGGCGGCCGGCAGAACAACCGGTTTGGTGGCGGCGGGAGCGGCGGCGGAAGCGGCGAGGGGAGCATGGGGTGGACTTACCCTTGGGAGTCCGGTGAGACGTAGCAAGTTTTGGTACCGTCTTAAAATTCTCTCGTCTGATGAGGCGTCGTAACGCACCGCGGTTGTTGAACGTCATTTCAGTCGAATCTGAGGTCAGCTTGTTACCTTGTTACAACGCACCACAGTGGTGGAAAGGCGGCGTTTTGTTTGCCAACATCGTAAAATTTCACCCCCCAAACAAAAAATCTTCCAGTAGTATCGTGCGTCAAGTGTAACACGCTTGAAGGGTTATCAGGAGCATCAAGTGTCTCTGGCCTTATTTTTATCTCCCAATTTCCAGCATCCGCCCAAATTTCCACTCCCGTCTCCCGGCAGACGCGGACGCATCGCCGTGGGAGGCTCGCCGACAGAGCATCACGTTTTTCACATCCGACGGGGTGTTTCAGATCCATGAGCTCGCGCACGTGCCCGTCTCCACTGCACCACCAGCAGCACCAGCATCATCGTCAGCACCAGCATCAGTAGCAGCGTCGCACCGCTTCCCGGAGCGGCGATACATGGATCCGCAGCAGGGCCTGTGCCTCGCGTCGCTCTTCGACATCCGCGCCTTCAACGTGAGTGCACGGGAAGGGCGTGGTGGTGTGTTGGGAGGAGGTGCGGGTCAAGTAAGGAAAGAGGATGTGGGGGAAGAGGGGGGGAAAGTGCGCCGAGACATGCGCGCGCAGCAGGGCCTGTGCCTCGCGTCGCTGTTTGATATCCGTGCGTTCAACGGGAGAGAACGGCAAGGGGGTGTTAATGTGTTGGGGTTGGGGTGAGGAGGGAGGGGAGGAGGTTGTGGAGGGGGGGGGAGGGGGGTGGTGAGGAGTGGAGGGGGAGAGGTTAATCGCGGCTGCATCCTCTCTCCTCTCCACTCCTGTCCACTCCTCTCCACTTCTCTCACTTCCCCCTCCCCCACCCCTCCAGGGTCTTGACGCATCGTGCCTTTTCTGTGTGGTGGGCTTATGCCGCTCACCCTTTCTCATATCGTGACGGCATCTTCTCTCCTGTCCCCCTTCTCTTCCTTCCACACCTCTCCACTCCTCTCCAATCCTCTCCCTCCTTCCCCTCCTTACAGGGTCTTGATGCGTCGCGGCTCTTCTGTGTGGTGGGCTTCTGTCGCTCCCCTGAGATGCTCTCTGACGTTGTCGCAGACACTGTTCTCATGGCTGGCGGGGAGGTGAGCACTTCCACATATGGATGCACTTACATAGTTACAACTGTAAATACACATTCAGTGACAGCTATGCAGTAAGTGTGTCATATGTAGGCAATGATTCATGGGTTAGCCATGCTAGAGAACCCATTCCGTCTCACCATCCAATCGAATTCTGCCACATGTCTTCAGGTGGTGGACTCGAAGCTGGAGATGGGACAGGGTCTGCACGAGCATCTGCGTCTCACACTCTGATCAGGCTAAAATAATTCATCAAATCCTGTGCTGCCACGTGTCACCAGGTGGTGGACTCGAAGTTGGAGATGGGACAGGGTCTGCACGAGCATCTGCGCCTCACCGTCGCCGTCCCCTATCTATTTGGTGTGCCGCCCGCCTTGGACGCGCTCAACCGGGCAATCCGATTGGGTGGTGGGATTGTGGATAAGAGCTTCCACCAATGGGAGATGTGCCCCTAGGCGTGCTGCTACATAAACTGTACATAAAAGTACCCCATTCATTCTCTGGTTTGCTTAGCCTCTATCCATTGGGTGTATTTATGATACATTTGTCTTGGGCCATGTGATGGTCGCTAAAGTATGTAAGTACGCATATGATATGATGGGTGTGTGCAGAACTCTCTTCGTTTTTTGACAAAATCAACAGAGTCTAAGGTTAGTAATGTTGAGCCTAAGATTAGACCCCCCGACACCCATGAGCATGAGCAGCTATTTCGCCAATTTTGGTAACTGATGGATCTCCATGATAACCATACGTCAAACCACTGGCTCCCACCTGTTGTGCAATATGTGATGTGCTCCTCCCGCCTGAAAAGCAGTTCAACTAGCTACTAGCTTTGCGAGGCGCAAACTCTTACTGAATTTGCCGATTCCGCACGCCTTGGTCCCAAAGGGGCAGCACTCACACCGTTCGAGCCGCTCCTCTTCCTACTGCTTTTGAGACGTATGAAAGTCAGAACGCTATGCACTCGGGCAGCACTTGCCGATTCCACATGCCCTGGTCCCAAAGGGGCAGCACGTGTACGAGCCGTTTCTCTTCTTCATGCACGCGCCCGCCTTGCAGCACATGATTCCGCCGCAGCACGGGTACTCCACGTTGTCCTGCCAGGAAAGCATAAGGTGTGATGGAATAGTGGGGCAAAGATTCTCAGTCTGACTCGAAACTCATGGGGTAGCAAGCATACGACGTTCCTCTTCCTTCAAGCTCGTTTTCGCCTAGCAGCACATGCTTCCGTGACAGCACGGGTACTCCACGTTGTCCAATCGTGACGATTCAGCGATGGTTGACAGTCATTTCATTTTTCACTCCAAATGAGGTTTTCTGTCGATTAGAGAGATATCAGTGCATCAAAAACGATCAGACGCACTCAGAATTTCAGTGTCACGCTATTGTTGAATCTTTCATATGTATGAAAATATATAAATGGTTACTAATTTGCACGTACAATGCAACAGGCGCCAGAGCAGTAAATGGAAGGCTGGCTGCATGTTGTGACACTCCTGTACGGGCAAACTCCAGCCCCTCTCGGGCATTGAAGCTTCTTCACCGCTATTAGAGATCGTCGGCTGCTGATAATTGCTGGTAAATCTCCGCCTTGCAGAGCCTGTGAAGAACTAAGTAGCGCTAGTAGAGCGATAAAACAGACCAGCACGATTGAGTGGATAGAACGGAATTGAAACAACGCCATTGTGTTATTAGTCAATGGCGGGAGAAAGTCACGTGAAATTGGGGGGGGGGGGAGATCTGCGGATAAGTTACGGTTAATTGATGGTAAACAACGGGCTCTTGCTAAAGGTGAGTTTGAGAATGTTGAGTTGAGAGTATCAACGAGCAAGTAGTATTCTTGAGCAGAGAATGGTGCGACTACGAATTGAGTTGCGACGGCAGGATGAGCAGGATTTCAATGGTGGTCGGTGTGCTTGCCATGTGCGTTGCAGATGCAGTGCAGGTGGTTCCGTCCATCCGCATCACCTCACCATTTCCAATGCACGGACCGCGATTCCCTTCAGAATATCGCGACACGAGAGCGAGATTTGGCTACAGGTTGCTTCGAAGAAAGGGTGGGATCGCTGATGTCGACCAGTCATCTGCAGCCGTGGAGCCCGGAAAAGGTTCGTTCAGATGCCAGCCTGGGTTTAGGTCGTATCCCTGGCTGGTGTCAAGAAGTTGGTGTCAAGGAGTTTGCGCACACGATTGGTCCAAAGAAGACGCTTGGCCAATGCGATTTGTCAAGCGTCTTCTTTGGACCAATCGCGTGCGCATAATTCTTGACACCAGCTTCTTCATACCATCCAAGAATACGACTTTAGATGAACCTTCAGCTGAGCACCACTAATGACCAGTACGAAATACCTTGGCGAAACTCCACTTTAGCGGAAACAATGGTTACTGTTTCACTGTTTTCTGCTAGTGCTTTCCACTGTCGCCAGCGGACCAGTAATTGCGAAATCCATTCGGCGACTGGTAACAGACAGGTCAATGCCAAACATTGCGAGTCGAGGACGTGGACAGCGTACAGCCACCAAGTATCTACGCGGCTTGCCACCGACATCGATTCAGCTGGTGCAGATGAACCGAGGGGTGGGGGGCGGGAGGGGGAAGGTTGGGGGGGGGCTGAACAAAAAGCGTGGCACAAATCCGCAATCGTTACATCTGCGAACTCGGCGCTGGAGCTTTTGAACTGATTTGTTAAAACCGGGGTGCACATTCAGCTGAATGTGCATCAAAGGTTATCCTTTGACTGAGTGGGCTACGAGGTGTGCTTTCAACGAATTTCAAGTCGAAATTCGTTTCCCCCCTCACCCGCAATTTCGTTTCCCCACGCCCCCGCAATTTCATTTCCCCCTCCCCGTCGAAATTCGTTTCCCCCCTCCCCCGCAATTTTGTTTCCCCCCTCCCCCGCAATTTCGTTTCCCCCCCCTCCCGCCAATCTGTTTCATCCCTCCCGCCATTCGGTTTCACCCACTCCCGCCATTTCACCCCCTCCCGCCACCTACGAAATGCCCGAAGCTCTAGCGGAATCATTTTTTTGTCGCCCCTCGTGAGCCAATCACTGTTTTTCTCCAAACCCCCTTCCCAACATCTCAAGCCGAACCGCGTTGAATGTGCACCCTGGTTTTAAACCAACTGCGTTCTGCACTCGTGGCTATAAGGAAAATCCCTTTCCTTACTTCGCGCCCTGGCTTACTGCGTACAAGACCATTCCCGCCATCGGCACCCAACAGTGAAACGTTACCCGCTCGTGACACTCGCCTCGAATACGACTCCCGCCATTGTTCACGATGCGACCCAACCTCACGGTTAGGTTGGTAACCCGCACTCCGGACCTCCGCCTCGACATTTCCCAACCTCAGCGCTAGGCCCGTAGTGCACCGCATTTTCTCGTGTTACCGTTACCACTCTAGTTTCGCTATATATTCTTCGCTCATGCCTTCACTCATTGTATTGTTTGCTTCGATAGTGCAATTCTCGCTCGCTCGCTCAATTGCACTCGTAACACTTGGTATTCATAACCTACGATCTCTTCTCAGATCGCACCCATACCTTCGCTTCCCCACTATCTCAATTTTTGGAGGGGGTAGACGTCTCTCAGCGTTCAGGCACCGCCGCTCGAAGTGCTCTCTCGAAAGCACGCATAGCCACGACTGAGGCTCTCACCGAGCTTGCCTGACACCCCCGCCATGGCCGACCTCACTCTCGCGACGTTGATGCAACTCGACCGGCTCGTCCGCCAACTCGAGGATTCGGTGCTCGAAATCGAGGATTCGGTGCTCGAAATCGCGACACTCACGGCGGAACGTGACTCCGCCCACCAGCAATCAACAGTGAATGCACCAGCACCAACACAAGCACCTGCAAATGCACCTGCGCAATTAGATGAGCCGATTTTCATTTCATCCGGCACACCATCACATCACGACAGCGTGGGACAGCGCTCAGGCGCAGCCAGTGATGGCGTCACCCAATCAATGCCCGGCATGGAGAGAAACAGGGTCGCACCAAGCACGAGCGGGCCTCGCGAAGCCCGTCGTCACGTCGAACTTACAGCAACGAGCGGTCACAACAACATCGTCACACCAATGCCGCTCAAGCCGCAACGCCCGCCCTGTTTCGACCCCAGCCAACGTGGAGGTCCGACGGTTCAATCGTGGGTCTTCACGATGAACGTCTTCTTCGACGCGGATTACGTCGAGTCGGACGCAGCGAAGATACGATACGCCGTTTTGCTGCTACGGGGCCCCGCCATGGACTGGTGGCAAGTCATCGTGACGCCGCCACACGCCTACGAGCCGCCGTCGCAAGAGGAAGGGCCCACGGGTCCAACCGTCACCTGGAGTTCATTTTGCGAAACCGCCTAGTACAGCACATGGGATGCGTGGTGCGCAGGGCTTCGGGCGCGCTTCGAGCCGATCGCGGCTTCTATCTTAGCGCGTCAGAAACTGCGTACTTGGCGACAACTTGGGTCAGTCCAAGATTATACAAGCGGTTTTCTCGCACTATGCGAACAAGTCGACTACATGCACCAGGCGAGGCGGGTGGACGTTACGTCGAAGGGCTGAAGCCGGATATCTCGCACGAAATCATACTGCGCGGGCTCTCGAACTTCAACGAGATCCTCGCGCTCGCCGAGAAAATCGACATTTTGAGCCGTCCGAGACAGGGGTCCTACTATGGACATCGCCCTCGGGGGCCGACCGAGCACGCCACCGTACACGTCGTTGCGTCAAATGCAGCTGCTAAGGGGCGCTGTTTTGCTTGCAATAGGCCGGGCCATCGCAAGAGTGAATGCCCAGAGGAGCAGAGACGCCGCGGAGCAGAGCAGGGGAGGGAGTCTCAGAGGCAGGGAAACGCCAGCAGTCAGTAGAAAACGGGCCAACTACTGACGAGACAACCTGCTCGCTCAACCTCACCGACCCTCACCGAGTCATAGTACCGATTCACGCCATCGATTGGGCTCGGATGAATAAGGAGGGTACAGCGACGGATTGCCCAATACTGATCCACGGGAAAATACAGCGCACAGCCCCACCTCAACCCGCGACAGATTCGCTGGCTCGATTTCCTCGAGTCGAACTTCCATTACACGGTCACCTACAAAAAAGGGGCATCAAACATCGCCAACGCATTGACCCGCCCCACTGCCCAAATCCACGCCATACTACTTGCCCAGACCAGCCCACTGCTAACAGGACTATTTACCCACGGCTACCAAACAGCCCGGTTCTTCACCGGATGAAACTCACAGTAGTTTGCAGCGGCAAAAGGGGTGTATTACGTAAAAGCCGGCACTGATAGGATCTGGGTACCCGGCTACACCTTACTACGGGAATTACCGCTACATGAGGCACATGACGGAGTCACCTCAGGCCATTTCGGAGTAGAAAAAACACGACAGCAACTGCAAATGTATTACTACTGACCCGAAATGCTGACCAACGTGCAACGACACGTGGCATCA